AAGAGCCCAACCTCATTCTTCAGTGTGCAAGTTTGGCGACACACTGCTGGAGCGATGGCTGGAGGAGCGCTGGCTACTAGAGCGCTGCTTGGAGGAAGAAGCCCGGGAGCTTCCACCTTGGCTATGGTGGAGCTCTACCGGTAGGAGGAGGAGGGAGAAAAGGACCAAGGAGGAGAGTGGCGAGGTACCTACCTGGCTATGGTGGTAATACATGCCCAGCTGGGCAATGTATGTAGAGCCAAGGATCCGCAATGTGATAAAAAGGACTGAATGGACAATGCAATGTCAGTTGAATCTCAACAAGCAATGTACACCCTGATACATACAACATTGCACATAGTAGCGTAGCGGAAGACTTTAAGATAAGTCCTGGCCTGACCGGGACTGACATGGCATCCCATCATACATCACACATGTGAGAGGAGGAGGAGGGACCGCACACGAAGAAGAAAGGTCCCTCCTTGTACACAATGGGGAGGTACCACAGATGGGGAAGAGGAGAGACAAAGCTGGAGGCGAGGGAGGAAACCCAGATCGCAATAGCGAAGTCCAAAATAGTCCCTTGCCGATGTCCAATCAATGTCTGCCTCAGAAATGTCAAATCAGATCCTGGGCGCAGTGCCCATTGTAACCTCTGCCTGCATCCTTTGCTAGCAACTTCTCTCACTCTTGTATCTGAAGAAGAAGATGAAGAAGGAGGAGGAAGGAGGAAGAGAGAGAGAAGAGATGGAGGACGAGGAGGAAGAAGAAGATGCTTTCCTCCTCGCTGTCTTACCTGCCGGTAACTGCCGTACTAACGGTGGCTCGTCCTGTGCAGGTACCGCGCAGAGCCCTAGCTATGGTGCCAGGTAAGCTCGCTAGTGCAGGTAAGTCGTCGCTCCCTCTCTACCTCATGCGCCTCTCCTCCCGAGCTCAGCAGCACAGCGCTAAGTAGCGCAGCCTCCAACCAGCAGCGTGTTGCTCAAGAAGTGAGCTTCCGAACTGTTTAGTCCCCAGCGTGAGGCCCAGCTATATACTGCACTGGGCCATACTGGGTAGGCTGCTGTCTGGCCTAGAACAGCCCAGCCGGTCTGGGCCCCTACCGGGTGTCCAGACCGTGCTGCTGATGCAGCAAGGCGCGAAAACACGCCTGGCCTTTGAAAGGCCTGGTCCCGGTGTACCTGGCCCAAGGTATTGCCTTGGGGCCTTCAGGTCCGAAACGTCGTCTGTACCGACGAAAGGAGGCCGGCAGTCAGGCGCCCAAAACGCGCCTGGCTCCGGAAGGGCCTCGTTCCGGTGTACCTGGCCCAAGGTGCTGCCTTGGGGCTGCAAGTCCAAAACGGTGCCCGAACAGACAAAAATAGGGCAGCACATCGTAGAAATAATAAATAAATAAATGAGTGCTGCCTCACCCTATACCTGCGGCCTAGAGGGCCGCCGTGGGCCTCCAGGGTGCGCGCTGGATGGCGTGCAGCCTGGGGGGCCCTCAGCAACCGTCGAGCCCCGCAAATGGGACCCGTGTGCAGGCTCAGCATGTAACAGGTGGACACCATCTTCATCAGCTTGTTAGGCACTGCATCTAGAAGACCCCAGTTGGGGTAGTGTCGCATCAAGGAAGCTCGGGACAGAGTCAGGCATGGCGGCTGAATGGGCAGCGGCATAGCTGCCTCTTGTTGACCTTGGGACATGAGGACAGCGACATAGCTGCTTTGGGTTGTCCTTTGGACAGGAGGGTAGAGCCCTCTGTATGCCGCCATAGCCTCGGCCTACATGTGAGAGAGGAAGGGTGGCCATGGCGATGGTGGACCTCATGTTTTGCCTGCAGTAGAAGAGGGATTCAGACATTGATGCCTTGCTGAGATTCCCGCATTCTGCTGAGTTTTCTAAGTCTGTGTCTGTGCGTGTTTGTTGACCTGTGTGCCTGTCTGAGTGCTTGTTGGCACGAGTGTGTGTCTGACCCGCAAAGGTACTTGCTTGTTTGGGAGGCCCGTAGGGCCGGTACTTACCTGTGGCCGTGACATTGAGGGTTGCAGCAGGGAAAACACTCAAGTGGCGGAGCCAGAGGCCCACGACACTTGGAGCAGCGGAAAAACACTCAAGTAGCAGGTAGGCCGGTACCGCACCCAGTAGAAGCAGATGTGCCGGGTACTGGAGGCCAAGCAGAAGAAGACAAAGTTGGCATTAGAGGCCCAGTAGCAGCAGGCTAGGTCTAGGCGGGTACCAGTCCATCCAGTCTGAGTCTAGGGCATGTACGGGCAATATCAGAGTGTGCAATGATGTTTCCCTCCGAAAGGGAGGAGGTACCGGTTGCTTGGGAGGCCGAGCGGCCTGGAAGAAGCCTGGGAGCTTCCACCTTGGCTATGGTGGAGCTCTACCGATAGGAGGAGGAGGGAGAAGAGGACCAAGGAGGAGAGTGGCAAGGTACCTACGTGGCTATGGTGGACACCATCTTCATCACCTTGTTAGGCGCTGCATCTGGAAGGGCCCAGTTGGGGTAGTGCCTCATCAAGGAAGCTCGGGACAGAGTCAGGCATGGCGGCTGAATGGGCAGCGGGATAGCTGCCTCTTGTTGACCTTGGGACAGGAGGACAGCGACATAGCTGCTTTGGGTTGTCCTTTGGACAAGAGGGTAGAGCCCTCAGTACTCCTCCATAGCCTTGGCCTACATGTGAGAGAGGAAGGGTGGCCATGGCTATGCTGGACCTCATGTTGTGCCTACCGTAGAAGAGGGATTCGGACATTGATTCTGGTTCAGCCATTCAACATGATTATTGTTATTTCTTGTTTGAAAAAGAGGGGAGGAGATAAGGAGGAGGAGAGTGGTTGGCGAAGAAGAAGAGCGTTGTCATTGCTCTATGCTGAAGTACATTATGTTCTTCTTCTTTCTTTGTTCTTCTTCTTCTTCTTCTTCTTCTTCTTTCTCTCTCTCCTCTCAAATTCATTCATTTCTTTTGGCAATTGGACGACATTGTACTTTCTGATGATTGTGTACTTCGAAATCGGTCAGGATCGTGACATTGGTATCTAATCGGATTCTACTTGCTGGCGAGAGTTGACTTTGTCGCCATAACCCTAACCTAAGTGGTAAGGGCTAACCACTTAGGGTTAGGGCAGGAAGTTAGGGTTAAGTGAGGCAGTGTGGTCCAAGGGAAGCTGCTCCCACCTGACATGGTCGTGTAGGGTTGACAATAGACCCTACCAGGTTGCTAGGGTGCACGTTTGTGGTGGCACCTACAAGTGGGGCAGTGTGGTGCAAGGGAAGTTGCTCCCACCTGGCAGGGTCGTGTAGGGTTGACAATAGACCCTGCCAGGTTGCGAGAGTACATCTTTGTGGTGGCACCTACAACTAGAATCTGGACTTTAGGGAAGGCAAGGACCGACTTTAGGGCTCCCCTCAAGTTAGGCACGCTTGAGCGTGGCAACCATATTTGCACCTACGGATTGCAAGTTGCTACTTTGATCTTCAACATCGATGGGGGATCTGGCATTGTACTTTGGGGTAGATGTTGACCCTCCTAGATGATAGGACACTAGTGTAGAGGATGCTAATTGGGTCAGGAGGACTATGTGAGAGGGGGGTGAGTTTCATTTCATCTCAAGAGCCCGGCCACGCAGGTCAGTGTCGTGCCAAGGGTGCCCATGGAATTGACTGTTTGTTGGGATATTTTGGGTTCTTCTTGCATCCTCCATAGTCTTGATCTTGTGTGAAGTGTGTGAACTACTTACTCACCTGACGAGTGAATGGATGGAGTATCTTGTGTGCCATGCTATATCTTTCTACAGTGCTTTGTTTATTTCATTCCGAACGGCTGTAGACTGTAAGTTCTTTCTGGAGCTAAAATTCGTTTTTCAATACGGTAGGGGCAGAGAGTATGTCTTTGTGGAACTCTTGTTGGTTGGGACCCGGTTGTGACTCCGATGATACCATTTGGGACTCAGTGGGACCCGACCGAAACAAGAAGGGCCCCTTAGGCCCAAATCTGTTGACTTCAGCTACCTTGCTCTATTTGATTGGGACTCAGAGTTCATGATTTCGGACCAGGACACTCGCTGCTGAGGGGATCTCACCTGAGACGTTTCACGGATTTTACCGCACCGCCTGACTTGCACCTTGGACACCACTCAATTCTCTCTTGCATTGTGTAGTACACTTTGAATTTGATTTGTTGTGTCTTTATGGAGTTGAGTCCGACTAGGCTTGAGAGGACCTCATACGTAGTCGGACCAGACTGTGTTGAGGAATCAGATCCCTCTTACCATTTAATTTATATTTTTTTTATTGTTTTGACTGCTCTCCAGTCCAAATGAATTGCTGCACCGGCTAGGAGTTCTACCTTCTCTTCTAATTGCTTTCAAGTTGTTTCTTTCATTGGGCTCGTTAAATGCCTGCTTCTACAAGGTCGCAAACAAAAGAGAGAGAGAGAGAGAGAGAGGAAAGAAGATTCTGAGTGTTGCTCTTGGAGGGGTGAGGAGAGGGAAGAGGAGTGTTCGTCTCAGAACTATGAGGAAGTACGGACCCCTCTTGAGAGACTTATTAACACCCTCGTCCTCCATCATGGCGTCTGTAGCAGAATGAATGTTGCATATGGACGTTGTTCCTGAGGCAGAAAAAACACAGTATCGGTTTCCTTGTAGAGGATGTGCAATTTCTCAGCCTTGGAATCAGCATCAGACGGGTCTCAAAAGAGGTTGGTTGAGTGGGATCAAAATCCAGTGAAGGACCTGCACTTACATGTTCAGCCTCTCCGTCTGTAGAGTGTGTTGATGATGTCTCTACCCCCTTTGCTGGTTTCCCTGCTGCAATATGAAGCAATGTTGGACTGAGTGTCCCGGTTTAGTGCAATGCAGGCAAACCCATTTCTTCACCTTGTGTTTCCACTCACTTTCACGAATCCGGAACTCTACCCATGGTTTTGTGGCAGGATCCATCGGTTTGGGTGGAATCTTTGCTCCCTTGGGGAGGCGGATGGTGTTCGTGTTGTTCTTCACTGAGTTCTTCGGCCCCTTACTTTTGAAGGCAGTCCTTTTAAAGGCATTCATTGATTCATCATCATCTACATAGTCGGACTCGTGGGCTAACAAGATGCCTCACAGTCTTGCTCTTAATCGTCACCAAGAGAAGGGTCTTTTGCGAAGGCCTCCTCGTCAATCTCAAGTTGATCGTGCGTTGCAAAACGGTTGCTTCCTAGAAACCGTTTGCGGCTGGTGGTCTTTTTGCCACTCGATCCACCCGGGAGGTCTTGTGCCTCCAGCTCGACTGAATCCCGCATTAGGGAAAGCCAATTTGCATATGCCGCGAGTCCGAGCCCCAGACGATGTGTTACGGTAGAGGGGACCGTACCTTTAATCACATCCAAGCAAGACTGCGCAGTCATCTCCACATCAAGAGTAGCAAAGAGTTTACTAACGTACTGCTGTAGACTATGCATGGTGTCTGTCCACTTGTTGTGCTTGAGCTTGTCAAGCTTGAGTCTAGCTTTAGCTGCCGCATGCGGATCAATATATTGCTTCATCAAGAGATCCTCGAGTGTGGCTATTGGCATAGCCTTCAACCATTTGTTCAAGTCTATTCTTTTATAGCCTGACTGTACAGCTTGGACTTCTAAGAAGCCTCTTACGGCGGGTTCCACATTGGTCCCTAGGACTGACGACAGAGTAACCAGGGGTGTCCCCAACACATCAATGTAGGATCGCATAGAGCTGATCCAAGATTCAATGTCGTTTTTTCCGTCATATTTAGATCGAATTTGTGTCGCCTTCCTGTCCACGTAGGGAAAGCTGTAGCTAGGACCAGGGATTGTCGGGTCCGAATTCAGGGCTGCAACAGTTCCAGAATGCCCTGCACTGCCACTTGCCACTGTAGCAGTAGTAGCAGCAACAACGGGGTCTGGACCTGCTGCAGATTTGGATAGGTTGTTGACCACACTCAAAGAAGAAGAAGAAGAAGAAGACACAGTTAGAGGCGCAAGAACGGACTGACACACAGCATTAGAAGCAGGGTAAGTAGACGGAAGGACACTTTGGGCCGGCTGCATGTTAGCAAACTGTTGCAGCTGGTCACGGTGCTGCTGCGCCATCACGGCCATATCCTCGCACAGCTTCTTGAGTTCATCAAACACCTTTGCGAGTTGGCCAGTATGGTCTTCAACAGCCCGGACGTCTACTAAAGTCCTGAGAAGTGGGACAAATTTCTCTTCCACCTCAACATCAGTTAAGGCGGGCAAGGTACTGAAGATGACTTCATGAACCTTTACTTTGTCTCCCTTCTCCTTCTCCTTCTCTTCCTCTTCCCTCTTCAACGTGGAGTCGGAAGAAATTGACATTCATGCTCTCTTGTTGCGTTGGGTTCACATGAAGCAAGAACGCGAGCAAGGGAGAACGAAGTTGATCTTCCTCAAACTCCGCATTAATGGCCGATACATTCGTGCACTGGCTGATTGTGGCGTAACCGCAACTATTTCTCACCGCACGACATTCGTAAGGCACGCTTGGGAATGAAGCAAGTGACTTTGCAGAATCTTTGTCGGACCCAAGTGGGCAACCAAGAGGTTGTCACATCTACGCATGCAGTCAAAGGTATGCGCACTACCTTTGACGCAGACCGCACCATCACGCATGAGTTGAACTTCTATGTCCTTGATAAGTGCCCCTTTGACGTGGTTATTGGTTTGGGCTGGTTGCAGGCCCAATGTGAAAGAACCACGTGGAAGGACTCACAATTCATTGTCAAAGATGCCATGGGGATCAAGCGTCCAGTCCTCTTGGACAAGCGGCATGAGTGCCAAGTGACTTTTCTCAGTGCAATGAAATTCTGCAAAAAGTAACGCAGACGCAAAGTGGATGAGCAAATGCATATAGCCTTTGTTAGGCATGCGCATGTGCCTTCTATTTTTGTTGTACGTAATGGTTCTACTTTGCATGTCGTTTCTACTTATAATGCAACTACTTCTACCTCTACTAAATCTACTTCTAGTCTTAAGCCATTCTGCTTCAAATCCTGTTGTTTTGGCTACACCTATGCAGAGCGGTATACTTGCACCAGATTTTGATGATCCACCTTCGGAGATCCCATCAGAGATACACAGCCTTCTCAACCGATTCCCTGAAGTTTTGGTCGAACAATGAGGAGTTCCCGTTCGTCCAGTCCGACACAAGGTCGAGTTGATAGAAGGCAACACTCCTCTAAAGGGTTGTGGCTATCGAATGGGCTCAGGCGAATTGGAGGAGTTGCGAAAGCAGATCGATGACATGCTTGAAAAAGGTTGGATCAAACCAAGCGAATCTGAATTCGGTGCACCAGTTTTGTTTGTCCCTAAGAAAGGAGGCAAGCTACGGATGTGTATCGATTACCGTAGACTGAATAGAATAACAAGAAAGAATGCATACCATTTGCCACGCATTGATAATCTGCTTGATGCTGCAGGGTGGATGCAAGGTTTTCAGCAAGATCGATCTCAAGTGTGGACTGTCTGGTTACCACCAGATTGAAGTCGACCCTGCTGACCAGCACAAAACTGTGTTCAAAACTCGCGATGGGCTGTACGAGTTTACCGTCATGCCCTTCGGTCTCACGAATGCACCAGCCACCTTGCAGAGTCTCATGGATAAGGTGTTCCGCAGTCAGATCAATCAATTTGTTGTTGTTTATCTGAATGACATACTAATCTTCGGCAAGTCGATGTAGAAGCACATGAAACACCTTGAGGTTACATATCCTCAAGGATCCGCAGCTCCATTTCAACTTAGATAAATCTGAGTTTGGGAGGAACAGCGTCATCCACCTTGGACATCGGTTGTCCGCTACAGGCCTAGAGCCCGAGGCAACCAAAGTTGAGGTCATCCGCAAATGACCTCAACCGGCAAATGTCCGAGAGTTGCATTCTTTTCTTGGGCTCGCGTTATACTACTGTAAGTTTGTGCCCAAATTTTCTATCATTGCCTGTCCGCTGTCCAAATTGACAAGCAAAAATGTGTCTTACACGTGGGATGGGGAATGCGCAGCCGCCTTCCAAGCATTGAAGGAGGCTTTGGTGAGTCATTCGGTGCTCCTCATTGCAGATCCCAAACTGACATTTGTAGTAACTATTTGTGCAAGCTTGTATGGGATCGGTGCAGTGTTGCAGCAAGATGATGGCGATGACTTACGTCTACTTGAATATTACAGCAAACGCATGGCCAGTCACAAGGTAGCTGCCTCCACTTACATGCGAGAACTTTATGCCTTGAGAGAGTCACCCGATTATTGGAAACACTACCTCTTGGGGCGCCATTTCAAAGTGTTCTCAGACCACGGGACTTTGAAATAGATCTAAACACAAATTAATCCATCAACTACATTGACCAACTGGCTTCAAGAAAGGTTGTTACAATCACGTTGCGGATGCTTTGTCTCGCCACCCTGAGTACATGAGTTGTCTTGTGGGTTCCTACGATCTTCGTAAGAATTTGAAGGAGGAACTAGTTGAGCATACTGCCAAGGACCCGAAACTCAGTCCCATCCTTTAGCAGATCCAAGCTGACCTTGACAGTTAGCCTGATTTCCACGAGGGGGGGGGTTTGCGCTTCCGACATTATGGGAAGTATGAACAATTGTGTGTACCCACCATGAGTTTATCCGTACTCACTTCTTGGACTTGGCTAATGGGCAGAGTGGACACTTCGGTTTTGAGAAGACCTACGATAGTCTATTGCAAAAGTTTGTATGGCCTGGGATGAAAGGAATGGCACGAAAGTTTTTGGCCGAGTGTGAAGTTTGTCAACGCATCAAACCGTCTCGGCAAAAGCCCTATGGGCTGCTGCATCCTCTTCCTATCCCTGATGGTCCGGGCGAGTCTCTTTCCATTGACTTCATGGATATGGGAAAGAAGAGCAGGAACGGATATTCGCAAGTCATGGTGATCATTGATCGCTTTTCAAAATTTGTGAATTTGATTCCATTGCCACCTCACGCCCCAACTACCCTTGTGATCGAGGAATTTAACAAGAGGTACATTCTGCAGTGTGGGCCCCCGAAGACTCTCGTGAGTGACCGAGACACTAGATTCATAAGTGCAGATTGGGAGATTTCACCTCCCAGATGTATGACATTAAACTCAAGAAGACGTATGATCGACATCTCGAAGCCAATGGATTGGCCGAGGAAATCAACCAGACTGTGATTCAACTTCTCCGAGCTCTAATTGTGCCTGATCAGAACTCTTGGGATGAGGAATTGCCAATTGTTCAGGGATTGTACAACAATTTCATACAATCCTCCACCGGGATGACACCTAATCGCCTGCACCTTGGGTGGCAAGTTCGCAATCCCCTATCCTATCTGTTTCCTAACCCGCCACTTGGCCTAACACCTGGCCAGCCTGGCTACAACGCTAGGTTTGATGAACTTTGATCGCTTGCTCAAAGTTGTTGTTGCAGCTATGGAAAGGCGACGCAGTGCCATGATTAAGCACGCCATCAAGAAGCGCCAGCCTGCACCTTTCACAGTGGGAAGTTATGTTTGGGTCAAGATGTCTGAGTTTTTGAAAAGAGGGTGTATCACGAAAGCATCTTCCTCGGTATTACGGTCCGTGGAAGGTACTGAACCAGGTAGGGGAGGATTCATTCGGTCCTTCTTTACACGATCGACGTGCCTACTTATTTGCGCACGTACCCAGTCTATCACGCGTCGAAGTTGTTTCTGTATGTACCACCTGAAAATTTTCCGTATCGAGAATCGATGATTCCTCGTGCAATCAATGGCGGTTATGAGATTGCTAGAATTGTCGAGCACAGTGGAAAAGGGAAAAACAGACAATACAACGTCCATTTTCTATATCACCCATTAAATGATTTTTACTGGATTGCTAAGAAAGACTTGCTGCAGAGTGCCCCGCGAGTCATCAACGCATATGAACGACTGATTGTCTTTGAACTGCAACCTAAGTTCACCGCTACCATCACTCCTACGGAACATACCGGATCTCTCTTTGCCATTTGCACTTATGATGCGTATGCAGGGACTCTGAGTGAGTTACTCGCTTGAAGGGACCTCGCTCTTGAGGGGGGGGTAGTGTAATGACTCGCCATAACACAGACTGAGAACACTGCTGATTTTTTAGTTCTGCCGATGGAATGGATGCCTTGCTGAGATTCACGCATTCTGCTAAGTTTTCTAAGTCTGTGTGTGTGCGTGCTTGTTGACCTACGTGCCTCTCTGAGTGTTTGTCGGCATGAGTGTGTGTGTGACCCGCAAGGGTACTTGCTTGTTTGGGAGGCCCGTATGGCCGGTACTTACCCTTGGCCGTGACATTGAGGGTTGCAGCAGGGAAAACACTCAAGTGGCGGAGCCAGAGGCCCGCGACACTTGGAGCAGCGGAAGAACACTCAAGTAGCAGGTTGGCCGGAAACGCACCAGTAGAAGTAGATGTGCTGGGTACTGGAGGCCGAGCAGAAGAACACAAAGTTGGCATTCTTAGAGGCCTAGTAGCGGTAGGCTAGGTCTAGGTGGGTACCAGTCCATCCACTCTGAATCTAGGGCCTGTACGGGCAATATCAAAGTCTGCAATGATATTTCCCTCCGAAAAGGAGGAGGTACCGGTTGCTTGGGAGGCCGAGCGGCCTGGAAGTCACCGCCCAGGAGGCAAGTAGGCTGCTATATCTGGACGCTGAGCAAAGAGCCCGGCCTCATTCTTCAGTGTGCAAGTATGGCGACACACTGCTGGAGCGCTGGTTGGAGGAGCGCTGGCTACTACAGCGCTGCTGGGAAGAAGAAGCCCGGGAGCTTCCACCTTGGATATGGTGGAGCTCTACTGGTAGGAGGAGGAGGGAGAAGAGGACCAAGGAGGAGAGTGGCGAGGTACCTACCTAGCTATGGCGGACACCATCTTCATCACCTTGTTAGGTGCTGCATCTGGAAGGCCCCAGTTGGGGTAGTGCCGCATCAAGGAAGCTCGGGACAGAGTCAGGCATGGCGGCTGAATGGGCAGCGGCATTGCTGCCTCTTGTTGAGCTTGGGACAGGAGGACAGCGACATAGCTGTTTTGGGTTGTCCTTTGGACAGGAGGGTAGAGCCCTCAGTGCTCCACCATAGCCTCGTCCTACATGTGAGAGAGGAAGGGTGGGCAGGGCTACGGTGGACCTCATGTTGTGCCTTCAGCAGAGGGATTCGGGCATCGATTCTGGTTCAGCCATTCAACATTATTATTGTTATTTCTTGTTTGAATAAGAGGGGAGGAGATAAGGAGGAGGAGAGTGGTTGGCGAACAAGAAGAACATTGTCATTGGTCGCATTGTCATTGGTCTATGCTGAAGTGCATCATCTTCTTCTTCTACTGTTACAGAAGCTTTTGCTTCAATCCAATATATTATGACGGAAGTTAACTTTGGTTGGCTAATTCGCTCCGTACATAGATGGTCTGCAAGTATGATGGTTTTAATGATGATTTTWCATGTCTTTYGAGTATAT